TGAACCCAAATTCTAATTTTCGTCCAGTTCGCCAATGCGGACGACGAAAGAAGCAGGCACGAACAGTCTTTGAGCTTTGTCGAGATTGCGCTCCCGTGACTCCATGTTATGAGATGGAACTCACCTGTTGGGCCCGGGTCAGTACCAGCTGGCGGCAAGAACGTCGAGTTCAGATCCATCAACCATCGACTCCTGCTCTCATACCTTGGACCTCCGGCCCTTTGCCATCGCAGAACTCCTGAAATTGGAACAGCGGAGCCTCAGGGCGAGAACCGCAGCCTCGACGTACGAGAATTTACAAATTCAATTTCCCAGTGAAACGCGCAGTTTTGCCGGGCTAAGCGACCCAGATAGCCGACCTTTATCGAGACTCAGGCGCCTGCACCGCCAGAACCGCACCAGGTGCCACCTCATAATTTTAGATATCGTGATAGGGGCGCCTGGAAATATCCGGAACCCATCCGCTGTGATGACCTGCACCTTCACCTCACTGTAGTCGCAACAGCTGTCGGTTCGCGTCGGTTGACCAAATACAGCAGAGGTCCCTGTCATTTTGACATTTTAGTCTCATAAGGTGCCATCAGACGATACCAAGGAGAGAGGAAGGGAAGGCTGCAGCACAACCCAAGCCCCTGGCAACTGTATTCCCCGTCTCACACCCGACAGCCTCGAGCTTGAGAAGTCAGGTACCCTGATTTCATCTTTTTGCCCATGACGGCTATTGAAGTGAAAGGCTTAACGTTTGGTCACCTTGGTCACCTGCTAAATCTACAAGGCGATGGCCATACCCTCTGTCTTGTCAGCGAGCTTTTCATCCGAGTAACGAACGTTGACACCAGATCCCCGAGGCCTCTTCCAGACTGTTGAATCAAGGCTTTCCCAGTCGCGAAAGAGGTCAAGGCAGGGATTCGCAAATTGCAGCCTCACTGGCGTCAAGTAGGGATCGGCGCTTGGGTTCGCTTGATACCAGGGCGATCGGCATCCTCCAATCACCCAATGGGCCGGTTGAGTATCTTCCGCGTAGGCGGACCCTGCCCTATACTGGAGGTCATATACACTCACTACCTACGCTCGAGATATCACAGTGCACTACTCACAACCTCGAGACACCATGCCCATCCATACCATGTACACAACGTTTGTACGTACAATTCTCCATTTCCAAGTGCATTCACTGTCAAAAAGCATTGGGGCTGACGTGTACTACGGTGAATAGTGGCCGTTGAAAGTACAAACTGATGACATAGCACAGGAGCCAAAGAGTCATTGGGCAACTTCGCTTACAGAACTTGTGTACAAGGGACCACTTTGCCCTAAACTACACTTTGAGGACATCCGAAGCGAGGCGCGGGAGTTTGACCGGATGATTTTCCAGAGCGCGGGCTAGATCTCGTCACCTACCCCCAACGCCACTACAGTGCAGACGTCCCTACGCTGCCTACAACCTGGAGAAGGGACATCAAACCGTGGGATTGGGAATGCGGCTGTTCCGGGGGCTGTGTCTATGAAGCCCTGGATGCGTATCATATCCCCATCTTCGTGTATTCTGTCGGGTGTCCAACCTTGGCCCTGGCGTCTACCACAACGTGATGACATGTCCGCGAAGCTCTAACAACCACTGGCCTGCTTGATAACATTATCAATTTGGCTCCAGGCAATGACTGTCCAGGCGATGGATTGTCGTCCTTGATGATCTACACATAATACCACCACATTTTGAGGTCGGGATCATGATACCGAGACCAAGAGGGTGACAATGACATCTGCTGTGCACCTTGACACCGCAGTGATGGTGAGCAATTGGACTACAGCCAAAACAAGAGACAGTACCAAAAAAAGGAGGTGTGACAATAAGGGAAGTGCCGCGTGGGGAGCCTCAGTCAAGCACGCACTTCGAGATATCAAATCCGACATCGAGGCAGCATTGCGGACGTGGTTGTGAAAATCATTGATGAAACGCCCGACGGACACTCGATCATGATCTGTAGCGTTTGCGCTCCATTTCGACCACCTGACGCATATCCACGCAGCAGAACAAGGTGGTAATGGCCGTGAATATTCCCCTCCGACATCCGTATGTACTCGGCCTGAGGTTGGAATTGGAGTTGGAATTGGAGTTTTCGCTGAAAGCCTCGAACTTTGGCTCGGTGGGGAGTCGCTCACTGTGCGTCCGTGGCACATCACGGCCTGCAACTCTGCGTGCCCATCCACACTATCCATCAACACCACCATTATCAAAAAGTTGAGGATGGTTTTTTATTCGCAAGAAACCTTGACACCCAAGTCTTGTCTCTACCCCAGAAAGGCTAGCGCAAGCCCCTCCTTGGCACTAACGACCCTTGTCGACCTGTCGGTGCTGCTCCCACACCCTTCTTACGCCTTTGTGGTTGGACAGACTGCCGAGTGCTCTTTTCTTGGACAACTTCTCACCCAGAGTCCCTTCTGCTTCCGCCCCTATCCCCGGCGGCGTGCGTGCCTGCCCGTTCAAACGTCAACAGTCGGCGCGGCGGCAGGAGCGACTCGAGGTCGGACGGTACCTGCTACCTACCAGCATCGCAGTGGAAGGAACCCAATGACCCGGCCAGATCTGACGGGGCAAGAGGGGTGGCTTCCGGTGGGCTGCAACCTGGACGTCCTTTCCCGTTAAGGACACCTCCTCGCTCTCGAGTTGACACCTCACAGCTCGTTGAAATGTTTGTGGGAACCGAAACCTGAACCTTCGCGCTCCGTCGTGTTCGTTTCCCACAAAATTGGCCCCAAAGGAGAAGGACGAAAACCAACATGGACGCTTGACGTGACAGGACGTGGAGCAATGCCACTTTCGACGGCCAACGGTTGAAAGTCCAGACTCTGCCATTTCGAGGTCAGCGCGCAGTAGCCAGCGCAAAGTTCAGCTCAGACTGGCCAGCATCCCGTCATTCTAGGCAAGTAAGTACATTACATACATACCTTGCCTTTCAGACACGCAGCACCGTGAGCATCAACGGAAGCACAACACCCCGTTTAAACCCTTCAAGCTCTTAGTGTACCTGGTGTATGGGTACACGACACTAGCACCATTGACCATGACCTCCTAGTTACCGATTTGCTGGAATTTAATGGGCCTCGACTCGAACCTCACAGTAGGTTGGTACCTCGGCGCACCGGTGGCAAGTGGAAAACGATATTGGTGGTCCCCATGGAGGTGAGATTTGATACCGGGCGGATCTCCATCCATCACCGAGTCCACTATTGCCTTCGAGAAATGTCCACTTCTCTCCCGATGGGAATCCAAAGTCAGGAACTCTCGGGATCTAACAATTCCCAGTGGATCATCCATCACAACGTGGTGGACATTTCCACTCTTGATGGTCTTATGTCTCTTTTTCCTTACGTCGTCTTCTCTTTTCTTTCCTTCCCCCTGTTCGCCGCTCGAGTTCGTTCTCTTGGATGGTTATCTGGGCCATCCAGTCTGTCTGCTCCGCCTACCCTGGCCTAACTGGCCCATCCCCCGCGCTTCTGTCATCCCGTTCTGACATTCCGGACGTCCAATGCTATCAAACTTGCAACTATGCAATATTAACGGGCTTGATAGTGCTGTAGCCTTCCTTCTTTCCTTTGTCTCCCCCTCCGTGTCCGTTTCCACTCGTCACATTTTCGATGTCACCTACCGTTGACAGGCTGCAGTCTATCTGTCTGGCACATCTCTCTGTGCCTACGGGGCTTTGTGATGACTGTCGATGCACTCAAGGGGGGGCCACTGGCGGCTCCTGGAGCTTTTTGCCCTTTCGCTCTGTATAACAGCACATATCCATCGTTACCCAGCATATCCTTACAAGCATCGTCCTGGTGGGAGGTCAACATCATCTTCTTTCCAGACTCTCGTTCTAGAGTGGTCTCAGCCACACCTCTTTCAGCCCGGTGAAGTCTGGAGAAGCCGTTTCATGCCCGCCCGGCTAGAGGAAGTGGAAGTAAGACCGGGGGTCCGCCTTACTTGGACGACAAGTGCATCATCATCATCCACTCTCAAACCTTACTGGCATGTGCTGGATACCTGTCATAGGTATTCACAAACGCAGTTCCCCCCATGTATACATACGTCTTTGTATCCTCGCAAGCTTTCTTGACCTCCCACCCATGCCCAGTGACCACCTTCCCCCCCCTTGGCCGAAAGCTACGCTCCCTCATCATCAATGCCCAGAGACCTGGTTACACAGTACCAAGTGCACGCACGGTATCTTAGCCGTATTCCGGGGGTCTTGGAGGACCGGGGTCCCCGTTCGTCTGCTACGTCGAGTTAGCGGGTATGGTGGGGGTCTCGCAGGCTTCGATAGGACCAGGGCCAGGACGGGAGCAGGAAGCCTGAGTGGGACTGGACTTATTGTTTCTGGGCTGGGCCCCGTCTCCTGCCTGCAAGTGCAAGTTGTGGCCCCGGGCTGCTGCAAGTACCTCACAAGCTTTTACGCACCGTCTTCTCGCTCCCCATACGGAGTGGGTGGGTAATGACATTGACAGGCATCGATGTGCAGGGCAAGGTTGTTGTCAAGAGTACCACCCAGCTGGAGTCGGTCTTCGAGGTACGTATTGGATCATGGTACATCCACTCTCTCTGTCCTAGCTTTTCCCGGGATGTGAACCCAAGGGGAGAGTCCCATCCGTTATGGAATCCTAAAGGGCCTCGACAATGAGTGAACAAGATCTCCCAGCCTGAAATGGCTTTGTCCATCAATTGGCCATACCGGATGCAAGACCCCGGCCGCTGTCAGTCCACACTCATCTTGTCTCTTTTATATACATCCCACATGTACGCCCAAGTATTGATATACCCATCTCATCCCCCCAGATTTAACGTCCACTCATCAGTCCCAGAAACTCGGGTCTCACTTGGCTTGACAATATAATAGTCAGACTAATCCTGACTTACAACATCGCTTCACTCACCTTGGCTTGTCTCACCTAGCCGTCTTCCATCTTCGCCTTTCCCCATACTACCACCCATCGACAGGTATCCCACAGACAAGATGGCGCTCACAGCTCAACCGTCGGCCCCCGCGGGCTGGGAACGTTGGCCCCAGCACCACCCCAACAACGACTATGTTATGATGGACGCCGATGTTATGCCCTACAACGCACGGCCTATGACCACAGCACCGATGCAACAACGGCCTTCCTTGGTTCCCCACTATATCCCAACGACATCTATGAGCACGGCTCCCATCACCAGCATCAGCGCGCCAGCACACTATCAGCCATCCGTTTCTTATGGCGGAGGATATCCGGCTTACCCGCTGCCTTCGCCTACTACCATGAGCTCTCAGTACAGGCATCAGCATTACCAGGAACGACCATCACTACATATGATTACGCCTGAACTTGAGGACACCAGGGGCCCGCATCATATTAGGGATGCGAGGCGGTACAGTGAAGAGAGCAGGAGCCCATCGGAGCGTAGCGATTCTCAGGCTTCTACGGCGGAGACGACCATCTCGAACCACTCGACCTGTTCACGAACCATCACCCCCAATGCCCCGGTCAACGGAGCGCCTCAAGTCGAGTTTAGCACTGCAGTGGACAAGCTCATGAAGGTTATTCAGTCCAAGATGAAGGACACAGATGCCGAGCAGAGCGGCGATGACAAGGACATCAAGGTTGAACAGGTATGATGAACCCTTCCTTTGAGGCTGAGTGAGTCTAACTTCTTTTTAGCAATCATCCCCCGATTGCCAGGCAAGAGTACAGCAACCGGCCGATAAGCAGAAGCGTAAGCGATATGAGTGCCAAATCGAGGGCTGCAATAAGAAGTTCTCCCAGAAGACGCACCGCGACACCCATGTTCGATCTCATACTGGAGATAGACCCTATGTTTGCCCTATTCCTGGCTGTGGTGGAAGATTCACACAGGCCGGTAACTTAAAGGTACGTTTCAGCCCTACCGTGGCTACAGTGCCAACAAATTCTAACCAAGTCTTAGACACACAAACGTCGTCACACAGGAGAGAGACCCTACCGTTGCGAGGTATGCGACAAGGGTTTTGTGCAACGTGGGGATGTCAAAGCACACATGAAGACACATCTTGGCACAAAGGCATTCCTCTGCAGACTCGACAACTGCCACAAGCAGTTTACTCAGCGGGGAAATCTCAAGGTAAGAAATGCGTGGTTATGTGTGCCTTTCTTAAAGCGGGAACTGACTCAGCTTGCTTGTTTGCAGTATCACCAAAACAAGTACCACAACGAGACCATCAAGGCTCTCGCCGCCAGATTCGACACCATTGAGGATTGGTCGACTGTATCGAAGGAAGACATGGAGATCTTCAAGGACTTTGCCGTGGTTCACAAGAACAGCAACAAGGGCATCAAGGGCCGTGGAAAGCATCGCAAGGTGAAGTCTGTGCCTCAGAGCTCGCCCACAAGCCCCACCGGACACTCGCCGCTTCCCAATATCATGGCTTCTCAGTATCCTCTTCCTTCGGGCCCCGGACTTTCGCATCTTCTTCACAGTCCTCATCCGCTCCACCCTCCCCTCCATCACCAGGGTCCTAGCCACTCGGCTATGTACGGAATGCCCCGACCGGGCTTCCATGGCCATTACGAAACATATGATCATCACGAAGTTGACACCGTGGCCAGCAGTCGCGGCTCGGTAGCAGAGCCCATTTACCACCACCACGAGGAGCATCCCCGGGAGCTTGCTTTCGGCGACCGGATCTACTAATCATCATTTACTGAGATGATGATAACACTATGATTGTGTGGCGATGTGTACGAAGGATGAGTCTGCTTCGCTTCTCTATTCACAACCTTTTCCTTATCTGTATATGACTCGCTCTTTCCTTTGTTGTTTCTTTTCATATCGTCAGGCCATTTCCTTTGTTTGATATCACTGTCTTCGGAGTTATTGTGTGTTTTTTCGTGGGCGGTTCGCATTTGATCATAAAATTTTACAGGGTTCGGGGGGTTGGTGGCAAGCGGCATCTGAATTGGTATTTTGCATCCGTGGTTTGTTGCATGGGGATACTAGTCCCTCGTTGCCTTGTTGGCAACCTTGCATATCTTTTACAAAAGGAGTTCCGGGGCGATGGGGCGGCACACGCCGCGGTGGCAGCATGACACGAACACAAGAGGAAAGATATGTGTATACAAGCATGGATGTATTATATGCGCGCCGGTGGATGATCGGTCATCTACGGGAGGTAGGATGACCGAGCCGGCTGGTTTGACTGGTTGCAAAAGGAAAGATACCAATGGGTGGATTTTGATTGCGCGAAAGGGAAGCGAAAAGCAGTCTTTTGCTAGGAGGATTGGGTAACTTATGTTGCCTGTTGTTTTAGGTACATATACCAAAAGGATCGCAGGGCGCTTGGGAGGGAGGTTTAGCCCGTCTTTTTTTGTTTAGTTATGCCTTGTTGTGGACTTTGTCCGCAATGAATAAGATTTCTTTGAGAATCATTTTACCTTTCTTTGCCAATATCGAAACGTGATTGACAATGTCGGAAAGTAGCGGCATGGTCATTCTGCCTTCGAGCCGTTACTGCCGGCATCACAACGCCAGCCTCGCCTTACCTTCCAGTATTTTACAACGCGGGAGGCAACTTCAACACATCGTCATTATCATCGAGGACCTAATCTAGACAAAACAACATTCAGTTACAGTTTTAGTTACCTCCCAACACATCCCCCAAGCATCAACAAAATCACACATGACTGACCCACCTCAACCTCGCCTCGATCAGCCGGTGCAGCCCGAAAGGATACACAAGATCAAGCAACTCATAACCTTCTACCCTAACTTCGAGAAGTCTTTCAGTCAAGTTCCATATTCAACCATAAACAAAAGGAGCTGCTAATCCAAAGCAGAGTGTCTCCTGGCATAGACCAAGGGACCAACAAGCGGGAGGTGCGCCAAGGCTCCTACGTCATTGAATGGGGGTCATAAAGCCAAAGACTGAACGATTCTGTCATCGACCAACAAAAAGATGGACCGGTAGCTCAGGGGTAGAGCGTTCGGCTGCAGTCCGAACGGTCACGCGCGTTCAAATCGCGTTCAGTCCTCTTCTCTTTTTTGATTTTTTTTTGACTTTCTTACTTTTGTTCGATAGGTACTGCATATCTTGTGTTTCTTAGAAGGTCATTGTTTTCTTTCTTCCTTTTTTTCTATTGGTGGACTGTCAATCTTTCGGCATCATAGCTAGGCTTCGTGGTATTTCTCGATTGTGATCTAGCACGCGCCAGTATGTGATGTATAAAGCTTATCCCATTCCCTTTTGGGTTCAATGTCTTGAAGTTATTCTGGCCTGCTGCTCTATATTCAATCTGGCGATCAGGTCTTGCACTAAGAAGATGCAGGAAAGCACGCTGTGACGGGCAGTGTCTCGACGGCCAGCAGGCAACTGAGTTGAAGATGAACTCGGATGTTGCATCACTCCGGTCTCTCGCCTCACCTATTCGGTGATTACGACTGCGGTGAGAACAACGGTGCCCACAAGACCTGATTTGACTCTTCGGGCTACAACTTCGTAGAATGTGTGATGATAATGCCATCCCTCTGTGGCTGCCTACCGCATCGGGATTTGTGTCAGCAATGCGATGGTGAGACTTCTACTGCGGACTCAGCTCTTGTTAAGTGTTTTCTACCCAAATATCCTTATGCTAGATTCCTACTCTTGTAAAGACAAGTATGTTGTACGCTGTTTTTGCAATGCGACAAACTCAAGACTAGCCACGGTGTTTCTGGGAACGGTTCTGGTTCGAGGCTCATACATCATGAATGTACCATCACTACTGTCCAGTCCCGACTCCAGCCTCATGGAATGATATCCAACCTCGTTTTATATGGACTCCATGTCTTTCAAGTCTATGGTGTTGTTTATCCAGGTGCCTCATCTACCTGTACGTATACACACAATAATACAAAATGATGATACACCAACAATCTCGCACAACATGCCAGGCGGTCATCAGAAGAGACCACACCAACCCCAACCGTGACTCCCATGCCTCTCTTTCGACAGCCTGTTCCCATCACATACTACCGCCCACCATCTTAGGCAGATAATACTTGACATTCTCATACACCAAAAAAGTCACCCACGTCGCTGGCAGCACCCTCACCACACCAGGCATCATGCCCCTATAAAACCCTCTAAACCCTTCCTCCCTCCACAGCTTCCTCACCACCCCCGCTATGCCCCGCCCAAACAGCTCATCAGCCAGATGATGCTGCAGCCTCGCCCTCATGACCTGCAACGGGTACGTCGCCGTGCCGGCCACCAGCTTCGCCACAGTAGAAAGCACAATCGTCGCCTCGTTCGATATCCTCTCCTCCCCTTCTCCATTCAGTGCCACTTCCTGCTGACCATAACTAGAAAGTCGCCGCTTAGCGTCCCTGCTCGCGATATACATCCTCCGCGCGGGGTCGTACACGGCGAATTGCACGGCGCCGTGGCTGACGGCTAGCATGCCGACTCCTAAACCACGGTAGAAACCGAGGATCCCTTCGGATCTGAATAGCCGGAAGGCGCCGGATAACATGCTCGGGTAGGCGTCGGCGGCGGCCCGGTCGGTGGATAACATGCGGGTCTTGAGGACCCAGATGGGGTTGGTGATGATTTGCGTGGCGGCGCCGGCGAGGAGGGAGGCGGCGAAGAAGTCGGTGGGGGAGAGGTGGGATTTGATTTGGGCTTGGGTTTCCCTTTGGATGGTGGTGGTGGTTACATCTTTGTGGGATGATGATGAGAAAGAGGTTGATGATGATGGTGAAGGAGGGGGAGGGGCCTTGAGGTGAGCGATGAGTCGCTCGAAACGGGACTTGAAGAAGAAAAAGGAGGCCCAGCTGGTGGCGTTGCCGATGAGGTTCGGGGTCAGGCCGCGGTAGAGGGCGGCGAGGGGCTGGTCGGTTTGCGCCAGACTCCGGAAGACGGAGACGGTGGTGAGCGCTGCCGAGGGGTTGGTTGGGCTGCTTCGGTGGACTGTTTTTATGATTAGTTATTTTGTTTATATGAGAGTGAATGTTGAGTTGATATTGTTAACATACTCTGCATCCGAGTCTTGACAATATCAAGCGGATGGACAATCAAAGTGGCCATGGAGCCGGCCGAAAGACCGGCGACCGTCTCGACGAGAGCCGGGGAGAGGCCCGCATCGCTGGATTTGGTCATAAGAAATAAGAGAGGGAGGGGAAAACACCGGATCCGGTTATTTTGGGTTGTGCTACATGATCCCCGTAATGTGTGTATTTTAGGTGTATCCGGGCCTCTGCGTATGCGCCCGTGGCCGTGTGATCGACGGCAAGAACGGCGGGCGCGGAGGGTGGCGGGCTTCGGCACGCAAAGGACGGCGGTGCTCTGCTTATAGACGGGCGAAACGGCGGTTGATGTCTTCAGTGGAAAATGTTAGTGTCGGTTGACCCGGACAGGCGGGTCGAGACGGCATATGACGCAAGGTACACAAGGGCCCCTCGGCCGGAGTGGGACCGGAAAGAAATGGAACAGGGGTGCGCAAAGGTCAAATTACTGGCGTTCAGTTTACCTGTAACAGCGCGTAATGCATCGTGGAGGTTCGGTGGTGATGATTGTATCTTCTAGGAGTTCTGATGGGTGAATGTCTGTATTTTTAAAGGTTGCTCGTATGCCTCTTAAACTATGGTCTGGTACCAAGTATTCATACCTACCAGGTCAGGTAAAAAGTAAATGCAATGCATACACGCCAAAGGACATGGAAGTCCGTTATATTTCTTCCTTACATATCCCGCTCAAGTATGTTTTTCACATGGTCCAAAGGCTGGTTAAAGTGAGAGCTTATGCCTGGGCGGACATAAAGCTGCTGAACCCGGAGCTGCGACTGTCTCTTTTCCAACCTTCGTATAAGTGACCATCAATACTGGCGCAGCAGTTCAGGAGCGATATGTATGGGTCGGCCAGATACTGTGACTCAGGTGTCGCCTCATGATGATACGCACTTGCGGCAGCCAGTGTCCATTCGATATTCTTCGCTGGGGTTGTTCGATAGAGAGTCGTCTTTGATTATAGTGTACAGTTATCGTGGTGTATCTCGGTCTCAGTCCTCTCCCGACTGTCCATGTCCCACGTAGTTATGTTCGATCCTCCGGTGTAAGTCGTTTTATGCCCATCCGGGGCGCCGTCTCGTCATCGTTCGTCCAGAGATAAGCTCGCTTGTAAGCAATAGTACATGTACAATCCAAACTTTCTACCCATAACTCTGATTTCGTTATTGGTCGTTTAGGAGAGCGGGGAGAGGAGGCTATTTGTTTGTTAGTTCAGCACGTCGAGTAGCGGCGGTTGAGATCGTTCGTCGTTGCTTTTCGCTCAACGTACCGGATGACGGAAGGCTTGGGAACACTGCGGGTGTAGCCTATGCGATGTTAGCATCTTGTCCAGTCCAATGCGTCTTAAGTAGATGGCAGATGGGGCGCGCATACCGAGATAGAGGATCAAAGGCAGGTAGCCACTATGCAAACATCATGTTAGCATCCAGAGAGAGAGACCTGAGAGACGACGGAGCGAGCGGGATGCGACTCGGGTGGGATGCCGTACTAGTGAACCACGACCCGCGAGATGTCGATGAGCTTGCCAATGCGCTCCTTGGACTCTTCCGAAAGGGCGAACATCTTGACTGATTTTTTTCTGTTTCCGTATTAGATGTCGAAGCCTAGTGATCGGGTGGTGTCCAGTTGCCGTACATACCTGGAAGGGGTGGGTTCTGTGACGAGTTATTGTCTGGACAAAACGCTGGAAACGCGGCTCCCACTTTGATGGACATCCAAATTCTGGATCTTTTTGCCGGCAGCTTGGACCGGGTCAGCCACATTGGGGCTGCCAAGAGCAGCTTGCTAAATACACCATGCCGAGCTGCCACAGCCGCCTACAGTAGCGTGCTATCAGCGCCGTGGTCGCAGCCTATAGCACGCTACCTACTGCTTTAAGTAGTCATGCACCGTTAGTTTAGTCGTAGTAGTAGTAGCAGCCCATGCGCGAACGGGGCAGGCAACAAGACAGATCTGGACCGCGACTGCACCTTTCGTCTTTACGTCGAGCTTGTGAACTTGGACCAAATAATCTCCGAAAGCTTGACATTGCTCCCTGCACTTTACTAAACCTTTGTTTGCAGCCGATATCCATACCGTTAACAACATCCACACGCATCAAGCTTCTTTTATATCCGCTAAGTTCAAGTAGTCTTTCAGCCACACGAGTGCTACGGCACACGCTTCATCATGTCGAAACATTGGTAAGTCGCAAATCTTGACTTTCCCATCGTCGCTGACCTCGGATCCTCACTCGCACTCTTACTAACGCGTAGACTAGGGAACAAAACAAAGATGCGACCGTATACGTCGGCAACATCGACGAGCGCTTCACCCAGGAGTTGCTTTCCGAACTCATGACGCAAGTCGGCCCCGTACGCCAGGTACACATGCCACAGGATCGAGTCTCGCAAACACATCAAGGTTACGGCTTCGTCGAGTTCGATACCCCCGCTTCCGCCGAATACGCAGCAAAGGTCCTCAACGGAATAAGGATCTGGGGAAAGCCAATTCGCGTCAACAAGGCGAGCGCCGACAAGCAAAAGACCGTCGACATTGGCGCCGAGCTCTTCATCAACAACCTCGATCCCCAGGTCGACGAGAAGATCCTGTACGACACATTCAGCCAGTTCGGCCAGATTCTTCGACAGCCCAACATTGTCAGAGACGACAACAACATCTCAAAGGGCTATGGTTTCGTCAGTTTCGGTTCCTTCGAGGCCAGTGATGCTGCCCGAGCCACGATGAACGGCCAGTATCTACTGAGCAAGCAGATTACCGTCGAATATGCATACAAGAAGGACGGAAAGGGCGAGCGTCACGGCGACGAGGCTGAGCGTAAGCTGGCCGCCGAGGGCAAGAAGCACAACATTGTTCCGGAACAACAGCCTTTGCCGCCCGCTTTCCATATGTCGAGGCCTCCTGCCCCTGGCGTTGCGCCTGCTGCCGAAACCCCGGCCGGTGCCGTTATTCCTCCCGCGGTCGTACCGCCAGCTGTCCCCATCCCTGTGGGTGTACCTGTCGCGGCCGCTCCTGCCTACGGCGTTCCTCCTCCCGGCCCTGCGGCTATGGGTCGTTCTGGACCCCCATATGGTGCCGGCATGCCACCCGGAGGTCCTCGGATACCCAATCTCCCACCCGCGCCCTCTGGCCTCCCTGCAAGGCCACCGCCCAGTCACGGTGGCTTTGGCGGCCCAGTTGGTGACTTCCACCCCGGAGGTGGTGCTTTCCGTGGTGGTCCTCCCGGTCCTCCAGGTCCCGCGGTTCCTCCAGGGCCTGCGGCAATGTACCCTGGCATGCCTCCTCCGGCTGGTTTCCCGGGTGCTCCCCCTCTTGGTGCACCTATGCCTCCCCCTGGGTTTATGCCTCCTGGTGCTGCTCCTCCTCCAGGATTCGGTGCGCCACCCGGAGCTCCCAACGGGTTTGCTCCTCGGCGTTAGAATCCACCTGGAGCTCCCAACGGATATGCTCCTCGGCGTTAGAAGAATGCTTTGTCTGGGGAAGCAAGTCATCGGGGGAAAAATCGGAGAAGATGCCAAAACTGACGATGTCCATGCGGAAAACGATACGGGGATTGGAGGCAAGAAACGGGAGCAGATGGAGCAAAGACGAGCGAAGATTCTGGGTTGGCAACCGAAATGAATATCTGACGTCGAGCTGCCAATAGGGGCGGGACTTCCGGTTCACAAAACCTCCTGACTGGTTGCCATCTCACTATGCGACAAGTTGTTTTTCAGGCGGTCATCGTCACTCCCAGCGAAATATGGGGCGAGAAACCAGAGGCTCGCCATGGGTCTGTTAAGAGGAGAATTCTTCTATTAGCGATCCCCGGGACCAGATGCAATGAGCAGCCTCTACTCTAGGCATATATGACAGTGCCATCGCAGAGGTCAGCAGTTTCTCTTGGACCCTGCACTGCATTCGGGGCTCGTTTGAGAAAGACGTGATCGAACAGCATATGTTGGTTTGAGGATATGTTAGCAAGCCCCGCCCTTTTCTTCGCTTCACACGGCCGGAGGAGCTAACATCAGCATAGCTGAGCCTTCTTAATGACTTCCTCCCAACAGTTATAGATTGATTTTGGCTGGTTGGATCGGACATCCACATGGCAGCCAGTACCGGCTCGGTATATGACTGGAGATGTAGAACTACTCAATAGCCAAGGTCACAGGGCAGGTTTGGAAACAAGTCCTGGAGGGACGAAGTAGAACCCATGACAAAAAGTAATAGATACCCTCGTCTGAAGACGGCAACATGAAAGCTTAGAAACCCTTCAAACTTCTCTTTAACTCGTCTTCGTGGTCCAGTGTACTTCTCCTACCAGTGCCCTTTCCAGATCTTTCTAACCATCAAGTATAAAAATCACAGCACGCTGGTTTTCATCATGATATCCCTTTGGACATACGCGAGGTCGTGAAGGAGTACTGCAGATCTCTTCTCTCGGTTAGTGTCACGTTGAGGACCGGCCTGCATAGACGGCACCTAAGTGTGTCGTCCTCGGCATCCGCCAGCCATGGTTAATCCCGTCGGAGTGTTCCAGGCCTCACACCAGAAGGGCAGTTCCTTGCTCCCCGGCGAGGCAGGTCCATGTCCTATGAGCTAATGAACGGGTTGGTGTGACACTGTTTCAGCCCAGTTCCAGCCCAGTAGTTCCAGCCACCTGGGGCACTTAGAGGAATCTGTTGCGCTTAATCCGCCTCACACATAAAGGTTCCAGGGTGGACTGAGGAGGCTGAAACCATGAAACCATGAACGACAGCCATCATGTGAAATCCTGAAGGGTGTTGGTAGGTAATCGTTAACGTCGTGAAACCAACCAACCACATATAATCGATGGTTGCAGTACTAATCGAGGACGAGGCTGCTGCAAGTCGACATAAAGATACCGTGTATGCCATCCAACCGATTCCTCCCAAGACAAGTCAGCTGTCCTTCTGCCTGTCTCTCTAGATACAGTCTGCATTCTGCAGTGAAGTTTCAGATTCAGCAAAGGCTGTGTGTGTGATTCACATCCGGGGCCGGGACTCTGGTCCGAGACTAGAGGTACCGAACCGGTCGATTCGATCTCAAGACAAGAGCTATGATGTGGGAGCTGTCTGAGTGTGACTTCCAACTCGACCGAGCCCTCAGAATTCTTCAAAGCTCAGGTTGATAGATGGTCTTCAATCCATCACCGAGTGTACCTATCACCACTTACGTCACCGCACATATGAGTTCAGTTGTTTGTCTTGTCCTGTCAAGTGTCTGCCTGTCCGTTACTCTTTCGCCCCGGGTTATTGCATGCCGACCAGACACCTTGCCATCGTTAGGTTATGTTGCCTTGGATCATCCATCTACGATATCTATCCATCGAGGCAGCCTAAACCAAACCAACGTTGAGGTTCATTCCACGCTCGTTGTTGATGATGATGACTGTCCAAAACAATGACAGATCGTAAGGTACGACATATATGTACGAGACTTGTGTGTGTAGCCGGCCGCGGCTCATTAACAACATGGACATACATACGTACATATGCATGGCACACGGAAACGCAAGAGCAGACAGACCACGAGATCTCGAGGAGTAGCGAATCGAAGGCCATTGTCCATTTTTGATTTGGCGTGTGGTACCGCTTCCTCTCATTCAACTGGGTTTTATCTAACTCTCTTACAGCCTAGCGTATCTGGGAGTCACTTCAGAACTTGGAGTGCCATCGTGGCCGGCAGACTTAGCGAACCACTCAGCGCTTGACTTGACAGCTGGCATGCAAGTAACCTGCAGCGGTTCGAGCGGATGATTTAACCGTGCCATTGACCTAAACTAGAGTAGGTTTAGTTTTTGCGGGTAGATAAAACCCAGTTGAGTGGGAGGAAGCGGATGCTCATGCTCAATGCTGAGTGTTAATGTTGCTTCGAAGCTTTCTGCTGCAGAGTGCCAGAGCAGCACAGCACGGCGTCGTCGTCATTCCTAATGACTGACTGATCTCGTCGCCGGTTCATCATTATCATTGAATGGCAGCGATTGAGCCGGCACTACTGTGTAGGTAATCTTTCTCCGACATTACAGATATTGCAAATTCCAGGGCTTCAGTACCTACCCTCGCTACCGTTTATTGTGTGTGCGCTGTAAACTGAAAGGCTCGATCTCATTCATCAGCCGTTGCACACGTCGATACTGTCACCACATTCCCGATTCTTGAACACTTCACCACCTGCACTCAGACACTCCCGGTACCAGAGAGAGGGAGGTTGATGCAGTGCAGCAGCAGTGCGCCAATTTCTTTAACCCCTGCAACATTGGCGACATCATTGACCTTTTTATTATCTTTTGACGTCTCTCTTCTTTCTTTTTCACGATTCTGAGAATCGTCGTTTTGCTGTGGTTGTGGACCGTCCAGGTTGGTGATAGAGTAAATTAGCAGACACATCTACCGAGCACGACGTTCATCAAACCCATGGCGGAGGATCTGCCCCGCTGCGCCGCTTGCCTACAGTCTACCCGACCTACACAGCTACTAGTCACTAGCTGTTGGCTCCGTTCGTTTCGTTTCGTTCGTTCGTTCAAGTTGAGAGAGACATTGTGGTGGATGTGGTGGACAAGG